TGTTGTTGTTGTTGTTGTTGATGATGATACGGTTGGCTGTTTAGAATTAAAAGACCGCCACCACCCTGGATTTGTTGCAAACTTAAAACTAGAGGAGCCGGCTGTTGGCTTTGAGCCGTATGGGAATGTCTCGAGTATACGCGAGGAGCCGGTGAGGCTGCTGTTGACGATTGCTGACCTCCGGTAGTCGAAGAAACCTGGTCATTAGGGCGAGTATTAAATAGAGAGAGGCATTCATTCGAATCGAAGAAGCATTCAAACTGGCCGAAGAATCGTACCTGATTGTCCGGTGTTAGTCTCCTAGGTGCAAGCTGAGTGCTGGTGGTAGAAGAAGTGGAAGATGCTCTCTGTCTGTCCAACAGTTGAGAAACTATCATGTCGACGGGATGATTCGAGTGTTGTGTAAGATGAGGATTGTTAGGATCGTCATCTCCACCGAGGAACATGGGTCTAAGCTGGGAAGCCAGCTCGTCTCGCGTCCACTCCTTCTTGTCTGGCGGCAGTGCGAGACACGGTGGCAGCGCCGCGAGCTTTGCATCACCGTCCGGGTAAGGAACGTTTAAGTAGTGAACGAGGACGACGTCTGGATTCTGTAGTAGCCAATAACAACGCCGATGAAACGTCGGCAGGATCGCCGAGTGCACGTAACAGCCATAGATGCACTCGACTCCTTGGACCTACGATTTCATCCAACAGAACGAGATCACAGCTTGCGCGTGAATGCTTCGATTCGAGCTTCATCCCGTTGAAAATGAAAGGCAACTACCTTCAGTTTCATGTGATCCTCTCGTGTAGTTTTACCATCCTTCCGTTTCTTCCAGCAATAACCGTCCCGCCGGTAACGGACTTTCTTTCTCGAGTACAGTAACATCGAACCACTCCGAGGTCGTACCTTTACCTCCCGACTTTGCCATTCCGCGTGCCTTTGGAAACTGATCAAGATAGCAGCAATTTCCTGATAACAAAACCAAATTCATTTCAATTTCAAGCTAAGCCTCGGTAGTCCGTTTTACTTGTGTCGTCAACTGGCACCGCGCGGCACACTTTGAACGCGCGACTCTGCAAACTCCTCGAGATGACGAGGAGATAAGACCGACCTCGATAGAAGTGGGATATGCGAATTCGAAAGAACACACAGACGCTGCTCAGCCGGTTTCGCTGACGCTCGCTTTTTTCATCGTGGATTTCGCTTACTTTCCGAGTCGTGCTGATACATCTCCCGATCTTCCTTTCGATCCTCGTCCCTCGCGATCGCAGAAAAACGAGATTCTAGCCGCGGCTAAATTTCGTGCAAATTTCGCGGCTGACGGTGAAAATTATTAAATATCTTCAACAACGAAGACTTCGCCAGCTCTCCTTGGCTAAAAGGATATTTCGGATACAAATAAGTGACTGTACATACGTAATTATATTCGGAAATTTCGCCTAACCACAGTTTGATCATAAACGAAGCGAACGATATGCTGCTTTAAATACCAAATCAGGCTGGTTTCCTTTCACGCGATAAATCTTTCACTTCTGCCCCCAATAAAAAATTCTTCTAGCCTAGTTACGCCCGTAGATGTGAAAGGTAATGCGCGCGTTTTGCTTCCTTCATGTTTATACACTACTAATAATAGCAACTCGATTATTACACCGGTTCTTTATTGATTTTCCGCACAGAGAGCCAACCGCGCAGAGTACGACTCTTGAAACGAAACGCACTGATGACAGGGGAAACGAACGGAGTGGCAG